CAAGTCAACCTCTTTACAACCCTTTTTCTGCAAAAATGCAGAGAATAAACTATATGCTGCTTCCCTATCCATACCTGATGCGAGCTCGCTGCAGCCTTTTACAGGGTTCGGCAGCACGTAGGCAGAGCCTGTCTGTACAGCACTCTGGGTCCGAGACGCTGTTATTCCGAAGCCGTCTTTTGTGACCGACTCCCGCTGCTTGGAGTCCCACTCTAATCCATCCTCACCGTGGTTTCGGACGTCGGGGTATCACGTCCGGGGTCACCATTTGTGGAGACGGAGGAACACACAACGACCTCACGATCAATAAGCGAGTTCGATTTATTATCTATAAGGCAGTCATTTTATAACATGTGTAATAAGCTCATACATATTGCAAAAGCTAAGCTCACGATTGGTTGGCCTTTAATATTGCTTACATATTGCTGAAGTTATGTCTGGAGTTTTAGTCCCTTTTCCTTTATCTTAGTACCAGATTCCCTTTTTAGACTTTCGGTTCCCTCCCTGCTACATTCTCTCTGTCACATTCCCGTATTTACTACATTCTCTGTCACGTCGACAACTTTCAAGGACACCATCCTTCAATGCCCCCTCTCTGTTAACCACTCTTGAGTCACACTGTCCAGAGACCCCCCCTCCACATCAAACTGCCTGTTTCAAGTGGGCTTCACTGACAGGGTCCTGAGCTGGGGGTGCTGTGCAGGCAGCACACAGGAGGGGATCCTGGATGCTCTCACAGTTCCTCACAATGACAGCTCCAGCAGCATCTTGGGCGCTGCCGCTCTGGGGGCTCTGCCCTCGCTGTCCCCCAGCAGATGCTGTGCTGACACGGCCTGAGGTGCCCACACACTCTGCCTCCCTCCCACAGAGGAACTCCAGGCTGCTCTTGGCCCCCAGCCCAGGCTGCTGTTTTCTTTCCTTGCCTGAAGCTATAAACAGCAGGGAAGGCAAACAGCCCAGGGCCATCAGTGGTCTGACTGTGTGGGGGGCTGCTTGTGTCCAAGGGTGAGGGCAGTCAGCAAACACCTCCAGAGTGGGGTGAGGAGCATGATCAGGTGCTTGTGGGGTGACACTTTTACCTTCCAAAAAGCCCCCTGCAGTCACAGAGGTTGTCCTTTGCTTTTGATGCTTGTGTTGTCCCACCTTTCACTGTTGGGGAAAACAGGGATGCTGTAACACCCCCAGCAGAGCCTGAGGCACAGGCTGTGGCAAAAGGCACA